GTGATAGCCAGAGTGCTATATACCTTGCTAAGAATCCAGTGTTTCATGCCAGAACGAAGCACATCGAATTGATGATTGAGGACGGGAAGTTACAGTTGGAGAATATTTTGGGAAGCCAAAATCCTGTAGATAAGTTGACTAAAACAGTTATCATTCAAAAACTGGAGTTGTGCGCAACTTCAGTTGGCCTTCATATGCAAGGAATGAAGGCGGAGCCACACAGGAGAAGATGTTTCTTAAGAGAGAGCTTGTTGATAGCGGTTTGGTCTCCAAATGAGAGATTGTTGGAAATTGGGGTGTAGCCCAAACCTGGCTGGCGACGAGCTCCTCCGGCGAGCTTCAGACGACCCCGATGAAGCTCAGGCGAGCTCGAAGTATACCCGCAGGCGAGACGACTTCAGGCGAGGTTGGTTGCGGGCGAGTTCGAGGTCGAGACCCTCTGCAAGCGAGGTTGGAGCTACAGGCGGGGTTTTTTTGGCGTGCTTCAGGCGAACTCGAAGCCCTAGCGTCAAGCGAGATCTGAAGTCGAGCGCAGGGGGACTTAAATGATTGAAGGCGAGCTCGAGTTGGTTTGGCGAGCTCGAGCGGCCTGCTGCAGGCGAACTTGAAGATCTTGCAGGCGAGATTTGAGTGAGGAACGAGCAGGCGGGCTCGGAGTTCGCCTCCCCCTTCTTTTCGCCTGCGATGTTGGGAAACAGCTGGACCCAACTATCTGGCTAGGGTTTAAAAAAGGAAACCCATGAGCACGAGAACAAGGCTGCTGTTCCGTTATCTTCTTCTCAGCGATTATCTCTGGCAGCGGTCATTTTTTGAGCTCGAGATTTTCAGATGAAAATGCCGTTCATTTAAGAAGAGTTCCTGCAGCAATTTATTGAAGAGAGAGAGGAGATTTTACTGTTGTAAAATCTCGCACCTTTTGTAAGAGCAACAGATAGTTTTTCTGTTTGCTTCTTTTGAGAGATCTCAAGTTGAGATCTTCTCTTTTACAAGCTTTGTAATCTTCTTTAAATATAAAGGAAATTATTTGTGTGACTCCCGAGGATGTAAGCAAGTTGTCGAACCTCGTTAAAACTCGGTGTTCTCTGTTCTTGTAATTATTTTTGATTTGTTGTGATTTCTTTTTTCCATTGCTTAACGCAAGATCCGGTAGGGCAAATTCCGCAGTGGGTTCATATTTGACAAGTGATCGAGTAGCTTGAATCCCTAACAACGAATATCAGAACGTATCTGATATTTCCCTAACAATAGTTTGGCCACTTTAAAATCCCTATCGTAATGCCATAGAATGGACATAATTTTTCAATTTAAAGGATAACGATGTCGTGATAACACAAGAGTCCAACAAGCTTATGTAAACATTCAAATCCATGTGGCTAGACACATACCCACATCTCTGAATTAAAAAAAATTATGACATATGGCACACACCATCATGTGATTAAATACAACATCATATCCCTTAAATGTTGGATTATAGTCCAATGACAAAACATTTATGAAAATGCCAACTGCCATAAAGAAAGGTGCCTATCAGCATACCTACTAAGAGTTCAGTGATATATTTCTTCAGTAAAATTATTAATGACTCATGAAAACTTTTGCACCGCGTCTCTTCTCTTCCAAATGCATATGCCTAACTTATATGCAAAGTTTAAAATCTCAGTATTTTGGTCATAACTTCAGTTCACCTTTATTGATGTAGATATCCTGAGTTCAGTGGTTTTGCAATTCAGAACTAAATCACCATTACATGGAATGAGTTGAGTATTAACTTTTAGTCAAAAGATTTATGCTCATTAAGTCTTTTTATAAAAAATTGCCAATCTAAGACTGAAATAAGCTTTGAGTATGTCAAATATCAAATCGCCTCTATTAGACATTATTAGTAAATATCTACATGTATTAGCTGCTATTGTATATGTTTCCACTAGACTCGGTTGTTGCGTGCATTACACCCCATACAATACATCATACGTTTATCTACATAGGGCAATATGTCATGCCTTTATGCAATCAGAATTTAATACATACACTCCAAAATTATGTTCAAGCATTCAATTGTACCCCCACCAACATGTATCTAAAGTTTCTTTGTAAAGAATCATGTAGATTTCTCCTAGCCTACCCCCATCAGTTGAAATCCAAGCAAGCCACACAGCTGACCTAGGACCTCGGGCATCAAAGAGAAGCTATCAACCAACTTTACTCCTCCTTTTTGACAAGGGATAGATGTACCTAAGGATCTTTTCCCCCTTTTTTGGCTATATGATATTTATGTGTACTTACAACAACCACACAAGTGAATAATTGTTGCAATAATTAATGTTTGACATTCAACCACGAAATCTTGTTTTCAACCATATGCTAAGAAGCCTTCCTGAGGAAAACTAGCATTGTCTATATGGGGAGTAGACATCTCCTACTGTCATAATGCGAACTCCTTGAGGTAATTTTATTGTCATGGATTAGTACTATGTTCGCCTTACGTTCCGCCATCAAATCCTAAACATTCATACATAAGACTTTGTCTTGCAGGTTCTATCGTAGACCTTAACCATATGTTTTGAAACTACCTTACTATCAGATGTCCTTGGCACTACATGAAAATTTTCAAGTTGTCGTGAGAGTTGAGGGTCACAATTTAATATTCTAAAGTGCCCCCACAAGTTAAGGACGCTTCCATGGACCAAAACTTGGATTCACAAAGTGCTATTTTTTTAATCCGCTTTAGAAATCCATGGCCAACAAGGTTCGAACTTTGATTGCTTTGATACCATGTCAAAGTTACATGCTACTATACCAAAACTCCGTAAGTTTTGGTGAGGGTTGAGAGTTACAATATTATATTCTTATAGGGTGTTTGGTTCAATTTCTATAAAAAATAGGAAAAGGAAAACACCCCAAATATAGATTTCCTTGTATTTCTATAAAAATTTATAGGAAAAGTTTTAAGAACTCAAAAAGTATAAATTTTATTGTTTCTTGTACTTTCTTTGTTTGGTTCAAAACAAAAAAATGGGCTCATACTTTATAGAAATAGCAAGTTTTTCTTTTCTTTTGTTTGGTTGCATATAAAAAATTTATAGAAAAATTTTCTTAATCTTATTCATCCACTATCCATGAACCCAAAATGTCACTCCCCACCACGAACCATCCATTCTCAGTCTTACTCCTCAACAATAATCACTCACCAATAATACTCCCAATACTCACTCTCATTAATCCCCCAAAATTCCTCCTCCATCAACAAACCAAATCAAATGGCAGTGAGCAACAACATAATCACGTTCCTAAACTTCCTCTCTCGTCTTCTCTATCCCCCGGTATCTAGATCTCCACCGCCGCCTACCGCTTCGTCATGGCTGCCCTCATCGCCGCCCTCCTCCTCGTCTTCGCCTTCGTTGTGACCCGACCCAACGGAAGCTATTAGGTCGAGCGGCCGAACCCTATAAATATTTCCACCCCCAATCTCCTGCGAGAAAACAGATTTGGGGTGGGAAATATGGTACAAGTAAAGTTTTATTATTTTTATATTTGTGTTGTCAGATTTCTGGGTGATTTTCGCCCAATTTGAGTGGAAATTGGTTTCTATAAAATGAGATACTTTTTTCCTACTTTATAGAAAACTTTGCTATAAAACTTTTTTGAACCAAACGCAGTTTATAGAAATCTACATAAAAGTTTTATTTACAAAACCGCCATTGTCAGTCCATTTCTATAAAGTTTTCTATAAAACTAGTGAACCAAACACCCCCTTAACACTTACAATTTAGTCAACTTTATTTGATGCATTTTTAAAAACCTATGCAATCCCTAATTACCATATTGATAGATGTAATCTCAATAAAGACCTCGTTTAATAGAATAACTGGAGTATGGTTCCTATCAGAACACCTTCCATGCAAAAGTGATCTGATGAGCTTCATTTGGAGGGCTGAGGTCTCAAGTCTCAACTAACTCGAGAAAAATAGTAGTAGTTGCGATTCAACCACGAAAAAGTTTCTCACATAATCAGTGTTCTTATATGATTCACAATTTGTATTCGCATGAATAATTCAAATGTTTTCTCCTGTTAGATAATGAACATACTTATAACCTCACTTTGTGTATATGCATTTTCATGTGTATATGCATTTTCATGATTGTTTTGCATATAATTTTGTCATGTATTTACTTATAGTATTGCTGAGGATAAATCTAGTTCCATTAGTGATAATGTCAACAAAATTGTTCCGAAAGTAAAGCCTTCAAACACAATTGTTGCACCCTGGAAGCAGATGGCCTTATCAATGTCCCATAAGCCATTAATTTCTATGTTCCTCCTCTCCCGTCAAGAAGCAAACTTCTGCAAAAAGAGGGACCTTGGCTCATTTTCAGTTGCATAGACCTTCTAAATTCACAATCCATAGTCACTAACGTGCTGTTCAGCAATGGGTTAAGTTATGAATTAACGAGGTCATTCCTCTTTAACTTTCCATATATATATATTGCACATGGAGTAAAAAATGTGCCAAACCCTCAACAAGATTAGGTTTAAAACCCTGTCCCGAGTTTGTGTAAAACTTATCAAAACTAGGCCAAGCCCTAGCTCCAACAAGGTCAAAGTAACTAGCATGTGGGACAAGCACCACTCGATTCTTAGCCTACACTTTATCATACGCATATAACTTCTTACTTCTTCTATTTAAGCTTGAAATAAAAGGGGGGAGCAAAGCTAGATCACTCTGTGATCGCCCAATGCTCAGCTAAACACTTGCTATCAAGAGTAAAATTAAACTTCTAGAAACGAAAAAATTAGAAAAGATATTAAAAATGAGATGATTGAACTATATTATCAAAGCAAATTTATGGCCAAACTACAAACCAAATTAATTTTGCATAAACAACTATTTGATTCCTAAAATCCAACAAAGAACAAGACTTCTACGACCTGCTCAAGGCATAGAGATCAACATTTACGCGAAAACAATCAAAACTAAGTCATGGATACATTTTTTCACCTTATTATTATCATTGAGATCCCTTGAACAGATCAAGCAATCCGCAACAATTCCATAACGACGCTCGCTGTTCTAATATAGGAAAATGACTTTGACCTGCGGTTTCCTGTACTCAAAAACACCAAATCCAAAATTAAGTATAAATAGAGACCTATAGAAATCGATTATTATGATTAAAAAAAACTCTTCTTTGCGCCTACCGGGGTCTCAATGACTGTGCCCATAATAGGCATCTCTCCCCTTTCTTCTCCTTCGCTTACAGCAGAATCAGCGGGAACTGATAGTGGAACTTCACTGGCCTCAATCACCTGCTCAGTTTCCTCTTCACTTGGTTTCTCCAATGAAATCTCGGTGCGCCTCTCGGTACCCACTTCCCCTTTAACCTCTAAAAACTCATTGGGTGCCTCAGAGACACAAATTTCTCTTTCAAAATTGCCATTACGCGCTTCCTCTTTAGACTCAACAAACTCGTTGGGCCTCTCAGAAACACAAATTTCTCTTCCCAAACCGCTACTACCCACTTCCTCTTTAGACTCAACATGCTCAAAACCCACATCTTTAACATCACTAGTTTCTACTTTCTCCAATGAAATCTCAGTGGGTCTCTCAGCAGAAGAAGCATCAGGAGATGGGTTTTCTTCTCTTGCATTCTCTGAGCCCTCCATCTCTGTTTTTGCTTCCAAATCTTTTTACATTAACAAGGTAATTGCAAAATGAGCAAAGGAAAGAATAAAAAAAGAAAGGGGCTTTTTAGAGAAAAAGGAAACTATACCTTGCTCCGTGGTCTGCTTCTCCCCTTCTTTTTTCTTGGCAGCAGCCTTTTTCCTCTTCTTCGCACCTGAAGGCATGGCTGTTGATGGGTCTGGACTTTGATTGATGGGTGAGAGTGGAGGAGGAGAAGCTTGTTGTTGGGGTTTATAGTTTGTGCTTTTGTTTTTATGTTGGGAGTTTTTGAGAGTAGGGTCCTCTTGAGGTCGTAGAGGCCAATCAGGGAGAAGAGAATACGTTTAGTCCGTGTACAAAGGGGATAGGGTGAGTGGGAGGGTGATTGTTGGAGGAGGGTGATTGTTGGAGTTTTCTGGATGGAGAAAGACCAAGAGAGAGGCGAGAGATTCTCCGCTAGTTTTGTTATTACTAGCAGCAAGATTGTCTTTATAGGAAAATTTATCAAGAGAAATTTATAATACAGGATTAGGAAGTGTATAAAAAAAATAGAAGTAAAGATTGTCTTTATAGGAAAATTTATCAAATAATTTAGCGTATAAATCCATGTGGAATGCAAATATGATGTCGACGCACTATATACTATATACTCACTGAAATGTTTTCTTTTATTTTGAAGTTTTATCCAAGTCAAAAAATTTATGTATAATATGTGTTGATAATAGTGTACTGTAGTGGGTTTTAGTCCCGCATTGGTTGTGAGAACACACATCACTCTCCTCTACTTGTATAAATATATGTGCACACTCAATATTCAACTCAAGGGAAATTTACCCAAGTCAAAATTTTATGCACGTGCAACGCACGTGGTTAAATATTATGATTAGGTATTTTTGGTTTATTTTCTTACTAAAATTTATTCCTCGATTACACTTTAATTATTTATCATTTGATGTTTGTTTGAATAGGCTACACCCAATTTAAATTTTTATGTTGATAGTTGAATTGTCAGGAGATAAATATAATCTAAAACCAATTTAAATGTTTATTTCATTTGGATCGGCATGAAACTGAGCTTGACCTGAGAAAGTATAGTGTTATGAAAGTGAAAACACTTGGAAAAAAAATAACATTATAAAAGGAAGATGGATAATATAAAGTCTACAAGCCAATATGGGCTAAAATGACAGAAAATAGTTAATGAAAAAAATCATAAACTAAAGATTAATGTTAACTCTAGTACAATTTTATATAATAAAAACATTCACGTATGCATATGAAAGCGCTAAAAATAGTTTATTCTCTTCTAAAGATTCATAATTTTACTAAAAAATAAAACTATTATATAACAATTCACAAAATATTATCTTTTGTTGCTTCTATTTTATTTCTTATTGAGTCGAGATCAATCCTTCTTCATCTTTACCTTTTTCCTGGGCAATTCTATAATAGTGTCTTCATCGTCTACGTCAATTGTGATATGAGACTAGAGCATGTTATCTTTCCTAGGGCTCATTCATCTTTTGTCTTCTCGTCTAAATTCACAAAGAAGTTGAATATATTTCTTATGTTTAACACAAACTTCTGACAATACAGACTTTGATTTTTTCCTATTTTAATAAGAATAAATGTTAATTTATATATATATATAATTTTTTATACTTTTAATTTATTACTTAAATAAGGTTAGGAGCTACCTCTTTTTTTTCTGCAATGAATTTTTCTGTTGTGCATCCAATAAGAATTTCTGTTGTGTCATAATGTTACATTTGCTCTGTCTGTGTTATTTTCTATGAGGATCTGAATTAAATACATTACATTTTTTATTATCAAATTGCTTTAGATTATAATATTAATATTTAATTTTGATATATTTATTTCATGAAGAAGGGATATCACTTAACATTGATACTAAATCATTAGTGATTCTACAATATTTATCATTTCGATACTTATTATTAGCATCTCTATCCACTTTCTTATTGCATCCTTTGCAAACATAGAACCACTGCTCAACTCTATTATAAATGGTAGTTATCGTTGCCTTAAAGGTGTGATAGTGTGTCTGTATATTGGTAAATTATTCTTAGGTTTAATTGTATGAATTTTAGAGTAGGTTTTCTAAGATCTTACCTTTTTTGAATGTTATAATGGTTATATATATTAGTAATTTGAATTTCTATTGCATTTATAAAGAGACTTAATGGAGATGCTTTTGACTTAGCAGCTTACTCTAAAAGAGCGCTGCATATTAGCTTTAAAATGTAATATTCTTTTTACTGTGTTATATAAATATTTCCTTGGTTTACTTACTATTTTCTTGTTTCTTTAGTAAGTTGTATCTTTTAATTAATATATATTATTGAAGCAATTTACGATGATATGCATATCTTCTCTATAAATTTAAGTCATATATAAGGTGAATTTTATATTCAGTGCCCTTTAATAAGAAATTTGCTAATGGAATATACTACATTCATATTTAGAGATCTTGAATTCTAATAGTGCTATTACATCATTATCCTTGATCGTGTCTTTAAGAATTGATCATTCGTTAGTAGTCATACCCCTAAATAAAGTGACACGCAGAGTCGTGATACTATATAAAAAAAAGAAAAAAGGCGATTTTATATTTTTTGCTTATACTCATGACATAGTAATTTTTCTTTTATCTTCCATGAAGAATGTTTCTTTGATGGGAACAAAGTTGTTCAATATATTCTTCAGGGGGTTTTCAATTGGTGTTTCTTTGATAAATATAACTTATATTAGTGTTAATTGGAGTGATTCATAGACGTTCCGAATTCCATTTGAAATGAAAACCGCTTGATTCTTTTAAATAATATCTCTAAATTTTCTAATAGTTCTCCATACATAAATCTTTATGATTTTTTACCTGATAAATATTATTATCATTAGAGATAAATATTTATAAATTATAATCAATTAATGTTAACCTATTGTATTATAGTATTTTATCAGTTTTGTTTACGATTTAGTCTTCTATCAATTAATGATACTTATGTATTTTTGCTATTCTAACATATTGGTAAAATTATATGCAGTTACTTTAATTTGAACAATAACATTAATTTTTAATCTATCATATATTTTTTAAAATTTTTATTATTTAACTAACTATTTTTAATCTGTTATTATTACTATTTTTTCCAGTATCAACTTGACTATTTTCAAATTCTAAAAAGGGATAGTAAACTTTAAATTGTAAGTTATATTTACATATCTTAATAAAAGAATATCACACAATTACTCTTTTCTTTGCCAAGTTATAAAGTTTCAGCTTTTTATTTTGTAAAATTTTAAATTTTTGAGAGTGTTTTGTCTAATTTTTAAAACTTTTTACTTATTTTGTAATATTTCATGTAATAAACTGATACTACGGAGATGTTTCATATATTTTATTAATCTTATTTAAATTGTTGAGCTATAGATAGTTCATAGGGTATTAGGATATGATATAAGTATGATTAGTATAGATTATAACTTAAATTAAAAAATTTAAAATAGTACATGGTAATTTTGACTATGGAAAGATTTTCCCAAACTCGTGCTTTTAAAAAGAGTATGATTTTTGTTTTCCTTAATTTTTCTTTTTTATAATTTTGAGAATGACTTTTGTCTCTTTAATTTGTTTGTGATTTTTGTTTTCCTTAATTTTTCTTTTTTATAATTTTGAGAATGACTTTTGTCTCTTTAATTTGTTTGGTGGATTTTTTTTTCTTTTTTATAATTTTGAGAATGACTTTTGTCTCTTTAATTTGTTTGGTGGATTTTGTAAATATCACATCCACATTATGTACATTTGTAGGTCTACGTTATTCTCGGGTTTGATCTTTGGGGTAGACATTATTTGTCTCATTAATTTATTTAGTTTTTGCATGTACGTCCTTCATTTTGTAGACATTTATAAATTTAGCATTTAATAATTTTATTTAGGTTTATATTTTAATTTAAATTGTATTATTATCTTCATAGTATGTATATCCAATAAGAATTCATCAATTAATCAACTTACTCTTACTTAATGGAATAATATTTGAATTCAAAGGGTATTTTTGTCTACCGAAAGATTTTTCTGAACTCGTGCTTTTAAAAGGAGTATGATTCTAACTTATTTATTATATATATACAGAGAAAAATATAGGTATGCTTGGTAGTGAGGTGGCACATTCCCCTCCACTCATTCAAATGGGGGACCACATTCACATGGGTTGAAGAGTGCATGAGGATATATAACCATTTGAATGAGTGGAGAGTGACCTACATTGTGAATGATCCGCTCCGTTGAACTTGATCTACATATTCTAGAACCCCAACACACCAAATTTGGGGTGAACCTGTCGTGGTTTGACCCTCCGTCGAGCCATGTAAAAAGTTCTATTCATTCGAAACCATTAAAATTAATACGAGTGGATGAAGGGTCAAACCACGATGGTACTTATCGACCACCAGATGAGTAGAAAGACGATGAAATGCCTCGAGCCCCTCCTGCACACTGATGACCAATCACCTCGTCATAAATGCCATTAAATTCATTATGGGAGTCATCATTCCTCTGACTCCAATGGTATTTATGACACATCGGACTACGACGATACCGTACACCCCACATCACTTCGCATTGAACCAAAGTGACCTCTCCTTTACTCCTTGGCCGACACCTGTAAAGTTGAAGCTAAATTGGCCACCGACCCATGCCCGGCCAAGGTTACCATCCTACTCTCCTTCTACTACTATAAAAGGAGATACTATTTCCATTAAAGGGTAAGCTCTTTCCACTATTCTCTGAACTTAAGAATTACCACAATTCCTTTTACTTCTCCACACAAACCACCCCACTAACTTGATCGTCGGTGGAACAACCAGGGAATCACACCCCGCCCTCTTACGATCTGTTACTTGTGCAGGGAATTATAGCTTGCCCAACGACTAGACATTTGGGGAGTTAGAGGACCTCTGTCAACACAATTAACCCCTTTCATTTGACTGCGTGATTCTATACATCAATATTAATATATATGAAAAACCATGAGAGAGAAAGTGTAAGTTCAAAAAATAGTGATATATACTAACAACTGAAAAACATATCTATCTATCTATATTATTATTTAAAGAAGTTTGCTATTGGTTTGTGTGAGCTTCATTTTTAGAACTTTGAAAACTATTAAATGATCTCATACTTAAGAAAAGAAAAGAAAATGATCTCACGCTTAAAAGAATCAACGGAAATGCATTCATGCATGGAAAAGTCAATGAAGATATATGTAGAATTGGCAGCAGAATTGAATTCCAGGCTCAGGATTCAGGATGACAGGGTGGCGGTCGACCGGTGCGGTCGACCGCTTTCGTGCACATTATTTACTGGGCGTCAGAATTG